CCTGCCTGTTACCTGGGCCAAGCTGGGGAGAGGGCAGGGCAGGGGCGGGGGAGGGCAGGAGGCAGGAGGAGCAGGGAAGATGAGGCAGCAAGAAGAGAGGCGGGAAGGGAAGGCAGGAGGGTAGGGGGTGGGGGTACGGGGGTAGGGGGGGGTAGGGTGGAGGAGGCTGGTGCCCAAAAAAACAGCAAAAAGTGAGGGGGTCCAGAAGACAAAGGCCGACAAGTGATGTAAAATCAGGCGAAGCCGGGCGGGGGGGGTGGAAAATGGACGCCAAAAATGGGTGGTTCCAACTAGTTGCGATGCAGCGAGGAGGACTAGGTGGAGGGTACTTGAGCTAACCCCCAAGACGCCTGGGCCGGTGGCCTCGGCGGATTTGTGTTGTCAGTTTTGCGTACATCTCGCAAACCAGGGTTCGAGTCACCTAGGGCGGCAGGTGGAAAGAGGATGCCCGTTGTTGCGTTAGGCCATATGGCAGCGCGTGCTAGCATGTGGGCTTAAAGAATTCACAGGCCTTGGATCGGGAGCGTCGCTGTGAGTTGCGACGGCACAAGGTGGACAAGGTCTCGCAGTGAGCCTCAGCGCACTGTATGCATCATTCATGTTTGTCGCCATTATTCTTCGCCGAGCCCTGAAGTTCTTGCTGGATAGTGTTCTATCATGAATGCGCCCCACGTCGAGATGTAACGTGCAAACATTGCAAACCACCATGGCTGGCTGCAGTTAGCCACCAAGACGACCTGCAGACACTTCAGAAAGTAGCTCAACTTCCGAATGCTCGGAGAGTCCAAAAGCACCATGCTGATTTGATGTCTTCTGTGGCTCATGACCCAGAGCCCGACCAAGAGGACTGGGCGACTGACAGCTGCAGCAGCGGTAGTTGTCATGCTTGAGAAAGACTTCGTGAAGGAAACGGCAGAGACTGCATGTGGCCAGTCGAGCGCATCGCGGTCTAGGCAGGTGGGCCTTAAATCGAGTGCCTAAGTGCATGGTTTGGTGTGCGAAGGCCCCGGCAAACATGGAAAGCAGGCGCTGGGTGTCGACACTGCGCTTAGACGCTTCTGAGACAGTTCGCATTGAGGTTATCGAAGTAACTGTCCAAGACCACGAAATTTGCTTCCGCCGTCCCAGCACCTGACCCAGCAGTTAGCCACGTGCTTCGGCCTCTTCAGCTACTGCAGCCTTCAAGCTTCATGGGCCGCTAAACCTTGTCTATGTCAGGAGGGCTCGACCCACTCACTTCGTGGCAATACATTTAAAGTCACGTGAGATACAGCGATGTGTGTCCGGGCCTCGCTTCATGCAACCCAGACCTACAAAAGAGATTGCGTGAGTGGCAGGGAGCAACTGCAGCAGTGGTTCGTTGCCCAAGATAAGCTCTTCGAGCGCTGCCTGGTGCGCCCCGCAATTCCAGACTTCTTGATCGTTCGAGCCGTGCATCGTCGCGAGTCTCAGGTTCCGATCAGACGTCTGCACACTGCCCTTTTGCTTACTTCGTTCGAGGAGCACCAGCTTGCTGCCTGGATCGACTTCTTATGTGCAGTTTTTTGATCTTACCTTTGCAGGAGCCTCGTGTCAGCGAAGCAAGGCAAGTTTGTGCCGAGGCACCTGTGTTCCCAGGGTCCAACATCACCCGGCAGTGTGTGCGAGGAGTGCCGCAGCTCGAAGGTGAGCCAGCGAGCCTCTCCACACGTGGGATCAATAGCGCTGCTAGGGACATGGGTTTGTTGCATGTGTCGATACGAATGTGGTCAGTTGTGCCCAGCGCACTTCCAAAAGATAAACCGTCTTGCGGCCTCCTCCAGGCCTATCTCCTTCCAAAGCAATCAACCATTGTTACAGTGCACCCGGGGCAGGACACGTAGTTAGACAGGGAATGCAGAAGAGGTGCAGCCATGGTTTCCTTCGATGCACGGTAAACGCAGCCATGAGAGGGAATGCTTCGATTTCTAGAAGTCGATGCATGTTGGCAGTGCAGGCGGCCCGAAGCATCCGAGAGTTCCTAGGCAAGGCCTTGATGTTCCCCAACCGCTTCATGTTTTCAGTCGTGTAGAGTAGATGTGAGGCGGAGAAGCAGTGCAACTGAAAGCGGAGGGCATCGGCCTGCTTCCGAGCTTAAGCCTTTTGCCTTTAACCATCCTGACCTGCTTCTTGGAGCCGCTTTGAAGGTTCCTTTGGTGGCCGCGTGGTCTTTGCTCGAGTTCGAACAGAGCCACCTGAGCTCCTGCAGGTAGGGAATACCAGCCAGTGCTGACGGCTGACCTAATCCACGACAAATCTGAGTCTCGTCAGGAAATGCGTCACCTGCTCTGTAGGAGCCACTGCTGCATTCGTTGTGTAGGCGCATTGATTGCCGCCGGGGGTTCGTGTCTGCGCTTCGTTCATCTTTGATTGATTAGGTTGGGGCTTGCTGGCCAAGGGCGGGCTTACAGAGCGTCAGTGCAGTGCGCACAGCACAAGTGTTTTGCCACTGTTCGCTTGTCATCGGTCAGCGTCTGACGCTTTGTTCCGCTAGAAACGGTAGGTCCGGTAGGTCTTGTCAGCGAAACTTATGCGTTAACAAGTGTGTAGCTCTTGACTATCAGATGCCATTTATTTTGGTTTCGAGGCGGCCCACCCCCCCGACGCCTTTGACGGGCTTGCTGTTCTGCAATCCTCGCTCCTGTTGTGGATCCGGCTTACGGCTTTGAAGATTTGCCATGCGTCTGGGGTTGGAGGTTGATGCTGGCTGCTTCCGATTTGGGTTCATGTTCTAGCACTATTGATGCCTTTGGGGTTTAAGGTGTCCCTACTCGCAGATTGGATGGGTCTGGGCGTGGGCCTGCCGCTCCTCCACCCTTCGTTTCAGGAGTTGACATTTTGTTGCGGGTTGAAGACGGCTAGCGACCAGCGCCCTCGTGTACATATATTGCGCATGTCGGGTTCCCCTCCCCGTTGGTACCTGACAATTTGCCACTCTCCTGTTGTTCTGGTTTAGGGGCTGTTTGTCTGTGTGTTTTGAGGCTTGTCCTTGTGCTTTGTACTGGGGGCTTAGAGAATGCCCGTGCTAGCTTCAGATGGGCCTTTCAGTCGGTTCCAACTCTGGGGCTTTCCACGCGCCATTTTGTGGATTTGTGCTGTCCGCCAGCTACCCACCTCTCCCTGTTCATGGTGTGCCACATCAGCATCCCTTTGGAGCCGAGTAAGCCACACAAGCGCAAACTATTGAAGCCAAGCCTCTACAGGCTTGCCTTTCCTGTTTTTTGTTGGGATTGCATTTTGGAGATTTGTCATCGTCATCCTTTTTGAAGATTGGGGACCCTGGCAATGGGGATCGAAGGTCGGGACGAACTTCAGCTGCTCGAAGTCCGTTGGTTCTCTTAGGGCTACAGCAGACTGTCTACCGCCACCGAGACTTTGGAAGCACTCTTTTCAGCATTGAGCTCGAAAGCGTGGGATCTCTTGTCGAATCCACTCCGATGTGTGTGCGCATCTCTCCTTCCCGGAATCCTGACCAGATTAGGGCGCCGAAGACGAGAGTGTGATCACTGAAGTTACAAACCAAGCTTTTCAATGCTGCGACAGTCGCCGTACAAGCACATGTCCTGAACAAATACTCCGCAGTTTGGTGTGCAACGGTGCATTGTCCGAAGTATCCACTCGCCGCATGGCGTAGAACTGTCACTGCCTAGTCTAGTTGCATTTGTGGAGAGCTGTTTTCGTTTTTTCCAGATGCGATTCTGTTTTGGTTTGGGTTTTGCCACTCCCCGCCATGATCCTGAAATTCACCTGGGCCTGCTGCCAGTGACTTGGTCAAGGATCTTCATGCAGCATAACTTTCCCATCTTGGACGACACTGGCCAGGACGGAAGCTCAGTGGTTTCGAATTGGGCTAAGAAATGCCTAGAAACTTCTCAAAAGCTTGAGGCATGGCTTGCGCCTGGGGAGGACTGCGCTCAGCTGAGCACGTTCCTGAGCTACTTCAATGTGTTGCGGTCAGGAACCGCGGCACTTCAGTGGACACGCAAGCTTTCTCAAGGCCAGGCGGGTCAGGGGGGGGCCCTGGCTCATCCTGTCGTGTGTTGCCGAAGCGTTGAGAGCCGAGGTGACGAAGGCAATGGCTCACTCTCGAACGACAGCGGAGTCTGGAGCTCAGCAAGCGAGAGAGGAGCCGGTGTCCCGCGAGCTCCAGCCAAGCGAGGAGGAAGAACTTCCGGGCGCTGCACGTTTCTGACGAGGAGACATCCGGTCGTCGTGCTCTTTTCCTGCGAGAGTTTTGGTGATCAATGGGTGATCCTGCCTCGTAGCCGGTGGGGCCGTAACGATGCCGTTTCAGCTGCTGTGGTTTAGATTTGTTGGGCAAATCCACTGGAGCGACGAGGTACATCGGACTGGCATCTGAGGATTTCTTAACGTGTAAGTGGTGTCGTTGGTCTTAGCGACTCCCAGCACATTTGCCATGATACAGAGAAGGTGCAGATCGAGAGAGAGAGAGAGATCCACAACATCCTCAGCATCCACCCTGGGCGTGGAGCGAGCCCCACCACCGCTCCGCCGGAGCTCCCCATTGCACCGGGGGTCACACTGCACATGCGAGCACTGCCCTTCGGGGTGTGGGCAGGAGTCACGATGCACGACGGAGCAAACTTTGAACCCGACTATGGACCGCAACCAGCGCGCAGCTACACAAGAGCGAGGCAACCCAACCCACTCCCAACGCCTACATCGGGGTCCATACGGCCTTTACGCTTCTCCATTGGGGGGGACATCACAGCAGGGGCGCCAGAACGCTGGCTCCTAGTCGTAACAGCAGTAGGAAGGCATGTCGACACCAACGGCGCGGAGATGCACGCAGGCGAAGCCTACTTGCTTTCTTGGGAGGCGGCCCAGCAGCCTCCCCCGCACTGTGGCACACCAGTACTACTACGATTGGGGGAGACAACAAGGCACTCACCCCATCCAGCGACCGTATCCTCACGAGGACGCGTATCCACTAGGACAGTGGGAGCAGATGGCCATGCACTTCATACCGAGCCCTGCTACAGCACAGGGGGCGGCGGGTCGGGAACCTACCCCAGCCCTGCCCCGCAACCAGCACCGGGCCCAGCGACGACTCGGCCACACCCTGTGCCAGTGCCTGACCCCGACCACCCGTCCTTCATGCAGCACCTAGACGTAGCCAGCACGCAGCTTGACAGCCAGGTAGCGCAAGTGAGCCATGGCGGGGGACAACCGTCGACAGCGCTCCCAAGGGAAGTGGCGCTGATGCTCCGCTGGCTCCGCGAGCTGGCGGCTTGGGGGAGCGAGCAGCCATTGCCAATGCAGTTCCGCTACGAACTGGAAAGCGCACCGCCTGACGCAAGCCAAACAGCCCGGTGAAGCTCACGCACGCAGGGGGCAGAAGAGGAAGGAGACCAACGCTGTACGCACTGCCCGGCTCCGACTTTTGGACCTGTGGCAAGAAGGCGACGCAGAAGACGGCCTCAACCAGCACCAGCTCTTCGAGCTGGTACGCTGGAAGTTGGGGAGCAGCAGTGGGGGTGCTCCTGGAGGATGCAGAGCAGGCCGTTGACGACCCCGTGGAGACCAACTACGTTCACTGCTCTGACGTGCTGGCACTGCAGCAAGGGGGAGAGGAAACGCCACAATGCCCGAGCGACAGCAGTGCCCGCTTTGAAGCCATCCTGGGGGACATCCGCAACTCCCTCGGGTTCCTGACGTCGAGGCAGCACGCGCAGGTCCTCAACGTCCTTGCCATGATGGCCATGTGGCAGACGCAGCAGGGGGCCCACACAGTGGACACCCAAACCACGGAAGAGGGGACGAGCGGGGGCCCCGCCGCAGTGAAGCAAGAATCAGCTGGCAACCAGCAGCTGGGGCGGAACAGTGGCCGAGCAGCCTGCCTAGTTCCGTGGACGACGGCAAAGACGACCGCAGCACCGAGGACGATGGGGGGCCGACGGACACTGATCTCCTCAACGCCATGGAGGAGTTCGAGCGCCAACAAGCCGAAGAAGCGGCACAGGAAGCTGAGAGGGAAGCCAACTCGCTGTTCTCTAGACGCCGTACTGAGGGGACTGAGCAGCCACCGCAGACGTAGGTTGCACTCTGCCTTTGAAGGGGACCCCTGAGCATGATGAGGGTTTGTTCCGTTTGTGCTGGCTCTGCCTAGGGGGTTCTGAGCTGTGTTTGGTTAGGGGAACAGGGGGACCGGAGAAGGCAGCAAGCCTCGAGTAGTTGACAGCAAAGACCCAACCAAGTGAGGTGTTCGGGGGCCAAAACACGTACATGATCATGTGCTTCCAGTCTTGAGCAGTTGTCGTGCTTAGTAGGCTTGCTTGCACTTAGCTAGCTGTTGTGTCGAGCCCGGGCCTCAGATTGTAGTGCTTTTCCTTGTGCTTTTAGCTTTCTCACGGGGGCATGCTGCACCCAGCTCAGAGCCAAACAGTTGTGTGAGGGTTGTGAGAGTTGTTAGCATGGCATGCTGTCTTGTCTTTGGGGGAGCCTGAGCTTTTCGAGTTGCCAGTGCGGCAATAAGCCGCCAGAGAGCAGCCAGTGCACGCAACAGCCCAAGAGACGAGGCCGGGGGGTATAGAGCAGTTCAGGGTCGAGGGTTGGGGGGTTCACAGTTGCGACCCGCCGGCCTCATCTCGTTTCAGTGCTTGCCGGACAGCTCGCGCGCTTCCCTTGACTGTGCTGAAGAAGATCCACAACATTGGAGTGAGCATACACGGCGGAATAGGCTACTGGGCATAATTACGTCACTTCTTGCTTCGTACTGAACATCCCCTCGTGTCCTCAGCTGTGCTTGCCGGGTAGAGACCGTTACCTGTGATACAGTCGAGCCCTCCTGGTGGAAAATCCCCAGGGGGGATACCGTGAGACACCCGCGGGTGCGCGCTCGCGGGCGGGGGCTCGGGACTTGACGCTTCCCGAGTAGGTAGAGAGAGAGAGAGAGAGACAGCCATTTTGGCTCAAGGCCGTGAGTGCTCAAGCCTCGAGCCCGGGGGGAGAGCGACCAGAGGGGGAGAGGCTCCAACCGCGCCGATCCGCTGAGAGAGTGTGTGCCGCCGAGTGAGGGGGCGATCGAGCTGTACGGCACCAACGTCTTACTACTTGTGTCCATCGCAGGGGTCCGCCGGGGGGACATTGTAACGAACGGGCCAGCAGGGGATCGGCGGCCTATTTCCTGGCCCAGGGGGACTTCCCCAACAACTGCCCCGAGGAGATCGGCGGCCCTACTCCGGGATTGCCACGCCGGAGCGACCCTGCACTACCTGAAGGGGAGACGCAGCCCTACGACGGCACGATCGTGATAACTACTTGCAGGTCGGGGACCTAGTTCTCCTTGCCCACGTTCATCCAGCCATGGCTGCTCCTTCCAACCCGGCGGGGGAGATGCAGACAGATCACGAGGGAGGCTCGCCCCAGAAGCGCCGCGCGGGGGAACAACAGGCACCAGGGCTCTCGCTGGACGCTATCAGAGAAGCCATCAGAGGCGAAGTTCAGGCAGCTGTGGGGGGAATGCGTGACGATTTGCGCTCCTTCGCAGGGCGCGTGGATCGTGTTGAGAGCCAGGTGACCCAAAAAATGCAGCAAACCATCAACTTGCTCGAGGACATGACGGGGAAGTACAACGCCCACGGGGAGATGCTCAAGCAACTCCAGGAAGCTAACCGCGAGGTGCAAAACCGCCTGGAGCATCTCGAGAAGACCGGAGGGGGAAGCACAACAGCGGGGAGCTCAGTGGCGCCACTCTCCGATGGGGGGAGGAGGCCCGCCCTCGTCATCGGGGGATGGAGCCCCGACCAGGACGCGCGTGAGACCAAGCCGGCAGCTGAAGATATTCTGCGTTCGGTCGAGGCGCCCATCAAGCTCCATGAGATGTTCGTACCCGGCATACGGCGGGGGTACGCGATCTTGCCAATCGACGACCTGCCGGGGGAGACAGCTGAAGCAAAAAGGGCAAGAGTGCAAGATGTCATTGCACGAGTGAGGGCTGCCAATGTTCAACTTGGAGTGCGCCCCGAGGGGGGGATTCGGAGAGCCTGGATTGCTATTTCGCAACCGCCAGAGAAGCGCCGCAGATCGCGACTGGCGGCAAAAGTTAAGCGCCTGTACCTGAGCATGGGGGGGGACAAGGACTGCCTCGACATGGAATACAGCAGCGGCACGGCCTGGATCACACGCGGGGGACAGTCTATCAAGATTTGTTCCGCAACGGCCAGCAGGGCGCCCGGGGCGGAAGAGGCGGGGCCCGGATGGGTCGACCTCGCAGCCATCGCGCAGGCACTCCGGACGACCAAGGACGCCGTCACGCAAAAGTGGTCCCCGCTTAAGGCGGAGATCAACTGAGGGGAGCCCATCACGACTGACATGTTTCACGCGACCCCCTCAAGGGGGGCACAGCCACAGCACACCTTTGAGCTGCTTACTTGGAATGTCGGAGGCTTGACGGCAGATAAGGTGCTGGAAGTCCTCGAGCATTTCCGGGGGAGCACCGAACTGCAGCACATGGAAGTGATCATGCTTCAGGAAATCATTACATCGGCCGGGAGCTTTCACTCAGAATCGCAGCATTGGCAGATTGTGTTCGGCAAGTGCGAGGGAGAGTTCAGGGGGGAAGGGGTGGCACATCGCACAACATACAAACACCAGCGCACGGTGGTCATGCCGGGGGGGGTTGCCACCACGGTTGTCATGGAACACCGCAGCATACGAGTCCTCTCCGGCCACATACCACACCACGCCACCATACCGCAGACAGCCACCATTCTTCAACACTGGGGGGACACCCTCCAGGGACGCACCGCAGTGCTAGGGATGGACGCTAATGAGACCTTTCGCCCACCACTGGGGGACAGACCGGGATGCTACGCGTGCACAGGCCGGGGGGAAGTTGTGCTGGATTGGCTGCTTTCAGTGGACCTCAGACTCCCCCCGCAGGACCTCCACACGCCTTCGTACCACCCCTACAACCCGACCATGCGGCCGCGCCGGCTCGACTACCTGGCGACAAGGGGGGGAACGGCGGGGGCGGGAAGGGTCGTGGCATGCAAGGACAGGGCGGCGTCAGACCATGATGGGGTCGCCATCCCATTGCGGTTCCACAGGGGCGGCGGGGCAGCCCGCACCACATGGGGGCCGAGGAAACTCCGACCTGCGAACCAGATCTCCCTGCTCCTGCAGGTTCCCCCGCCCCGAGGGGAGGACCTGCACCAGACCCTTGCCACCGTTGCCAAGGCCATCACCATACCCGGGGGGGGAGCCGACACCTTCAAGGAAAGCAAGCAACTCGTCCAACACCGCAAGCAAGCCCAGCAAGCACCGGCGGGGGCGGAAGCAAGACAGCTGTGGAAGTCCGTCAGCCGACTTCGCAAGCAGGAATTCCGCCAGTGGAAACAAGCGCAAGCGGAACGAGCCGCCCACCTAGACTGGAGAGCACTCCGCAGCCTGCAGCAGACACAAACCCACAGGGGGTGGCAACTTCAACTCACGGACGACCCCGAGTGGCAAACCCAGCTCCGTAAGCACATGGAAGGGATCTTCGCGAAGCCCATCCCGCCCGCAGCACAAGCCAGGGGGGCGATCCTCCGCGACGCGCTCCGGCGCCAATGCAAGCACACACCCTGGACTCCCTTCACCGTGGGAGAACTGCAGCACACCTCCCACAAATGGGCCCGCAACCGCAGCACAGGGCCGGATGGCGTATCCCACGAAGCGGCGCAACACCTGCTCCTCGACCCCGCTTGGGGGGAGAGAGTCCGAGAAGTCCTGAACGACATGCTCTACCGGGGGGCGATTCCGGGGGGGATCGAACAAGGCATCACGGTGTTGCTACCCAAGATCCCAAAACCACTGGCGTGGGGGGACACCCGACCCATCACGCTCAGCTCCACTTTTCTCAAGTGGGCCGCCCAGCTACTCCTGCTCCGGGGGAGTGAACAAGTGAGACACGGGGGCAAGGGGAGGCAGGGAGTGGAGCTAGTGGCAATACTCCGTCGTGTCGTGCAAATGGCAAAGGACTGGGGGGTGAAGACCTGGATCGTCAAGCTGGACATAAGAAAAGCGTTCGACAGTGTCTGGCAACACAGCCTTAGCGAACTCGTGGCAGCTCGAGTTGGGGGGATACCATCGCCGCGCTTTCCAGCACCACCCGGGAGGAACCACAAACCGTGGGAAGCGCTACTATGGTTGAGCCTCAACGTGGCGGTGGGGGATACCCTGACCCCGGTGCCCCAATCCAACGGCATTCGGCAAGGCTCGCCGGACTCGCCCGACTTGTTCGGGGCCATCGTCGCCAAGGACCTCCAAGCAGCCCTCCAGAAGGCCCCCCCACAACCGCCAGACCCACAGGGGGGCCCCCCACCCCCCAAGGCGGGGGGATCGTTCCTCGACGACACCTATCTGTGGAGCCAGAACCGCCAGCACCTACAGTCCCTTTTGGGATTTTTGGAGGGGGAGCTCGCGCGAGATGGCCTACACATACACCCGGGGAAGACAGCAGTCTGCAGCCAAAGCACCACCGACACATTCACCATCAAGGGGGAGACCGTCCACAGCCAACCACCAGACAGCACTGTCGCAGCGCTTGGCACCCCCCTTACCTTCGGCGACCAAACAGCAGCCATCATCGCAGAGATGACGCGAAGGGGGAGAGCAGCCTTTTCCAAGCGCAAGAAAACGTTGACCGTGCGGACGAGCCTCAAGCCGCGCATCATCGCACACATGAGCTTGGTCAGGGGGACGGCCCTATACGCGGCAGAAACGTGGCCTGCTCATCAACACTTGCTGCGAGCAGCCAACACCATGCAAGCAACCCACTACAGAGAAATGATGCACCTGCACCGGCGGGCCACGGAGAGCTGGGGGGAGTGGCATGTACGCACCCTACGCACAGCCCGAGTGCACATGCACAGGGAGGGGATGCAGCGATGGTCTACCTTCATACTCCAGCGCATCTGGACCTTGTGGGGACACATGGCGCAAGGGGGGGAAGCCGTCACAGACATGCTCCACTGGAAGGACCTGCGCTTCTGGCGCGCGGAACAACGCAAGCCAGCACGCACCAGAGTGCGACACGCAGGCAGGTTCAATCCAGGGGGGGACATCGAAAGAGCACTTGAGACAATTGCGGGGACGTCGTGGGGGGAGGTGGCACAGCAACGCAACACCTGGCAAGCTTTGCAGCAACAGTTCGTTGAGCGCTTCGATGTCCCATGGGCCACAGGGCGACAAGGGAGCATTCAAGACAACCTGCACCCCAACACCAACGCAACCAGAGCCAACCCGAGGGAGCTCAGGGGCGAATGAGCAATCCTGTGACAGCTCCGGCACCCACCCGGGGGGGGAAGGAACAGACAACAACACACCACATACCGCACACATGAGAGAGTTGAGAGAGAGACCGACATGACGCAAGCCAGCAGTTCATGACATGCCCTTTGCCAACATGACAGTGCAGCAGCAGGAGAATTCAGCATGCCAGTTTGTGTGCCAGTTTGTTTGCAGTTCGAAGTGCAGCGAACCCCGAGAAGGGGGGGAATCAGTGTACGGCCGTTTGCCGAAGCACTGGACCAAGCGCCCGCACCTCAGCCTCGCTTCCTCAGCTACCATGGGGGGAGCAACCTACCTATGCGTGGCCGTTGCCACGTTGACAGCTGCTCTCACTCTCTTCCCGGCAGCTACTGCACAGCCGGGCCCGGGCCCGGGAGAGAACCTGGGGAGCTCTACGCCGAGAGGAGCTTCGCCACGAGCCGCGCGCTTAAGCAGGGGGGAACACCTCCCCCACGCAGGGGCAGGCCCGCTCCCGCCCAGAGAAAGCCAACCGAGCAGCACCGCAGGAGGGTCCCTGCCCAGGGGGGCGAGCCAGCCAAGACCGAGGCAGGCTAGGGGGGAATGCTGGAAGCATAGGCCAGCACCCAGCAGCGGCAGCGGGGCACACGGAAGCCCAGCAAGCGTCCCATGCGGGACCCATCCAATCAGGAGGCTACCACCCAACAGCAGCTGGCCGCACCACCCCCAAGAAGGGGCACCAGGAGGAGGCCGCCGGCCTACTCAGCAGTGGGTAGCCGCGTCCTCTAACCAAGCAGCAACAGCGCAGCCGACAAACATGCCACACCCACCCCCTCAACAAGGATGGGGATCTGGCGGCCAACACCAACAACCACCACCGCACCCCCAACCAGTCAACCTCAAGCGCCTCCACCTCGGCGTGGGGCACCAGCCAGCAGATGCCAGCGCAGACCGGGCGGAGCCCGCCGAACCCAGGCCGCCACATCGAGCCAGAGGGATACTTTGCGCCCCCCTACAATCCGGAGACAGACCCTTGGCATGAGCAGGAGGGGGACCCTCAACAAGCACTACCACTACCAGCACAGCTGACAGCAGGCGAGATGGCGCTCAGATTTGGTTTTTCTTGGTATGACAGCCAAGAAAATTTGGTCCTGCCGTCACCTTCGGTGCCCGGCTCCGCAGGATGGAGGGGGCCGCCACCGCCAGGCGCCGTCGCCCCCACACAGCAGCATCAGGACGCGCGGGGGGAGCAGCCGCAGCACCAGCAGCCGGCCTCAGCTACAGCAGCGGGGCGAACCCCCCAGAACACAAGGGGGAGCACACCCCAGCCGAGGAAGCCACGGAAAGCACAGCCACAGCAGCCACCACAAGCGGCCACACCGTCGGCAGAGCAAGCAACGGAGCCAGCACCCACGCGAAACGACCCACAGCTACGACTACGGCTTACCAGCACGCGACCAGAGGCAGCCACCAACCCCCCCACCTTCGCAGCGTGGGCAACTCAGCCACAGGCCCAGCAGAACGCCACAGCGGCAGCAGCAGCGGCGACCTTGTCGGAGTGGATCCCACCGCCGTGGGAAACCCAAGCCCCCCAGGACGCCCCACCACAAGGGGGAGCGCCACCACACAACTCGGCCGGCCAAAGCACTGACCCACAGGCCCAGCACCCTAGCTCCAGCAGTACAGCAGCAGGCCCCGCAGCAGGGGGAACGGGGGAAGGCCCGCCACAGGACACAGCAGCCGCAGCATCCAGCAGTTCGAGTGCTCACCCTGGGGGGGAACGCACTCGGGAACCAGAGTGCCACCCGGCACGAGAGCCATCCCCGGGATGACGATGAAAGAACATTACATGTGGGTGACGACAGGCGAAATCGCCCAAAGCTATATCGACTGTGAATTGGCTCCAGGGGGGGATGAGCAGGGGGAAGCAGAGGCGGCGGCAGAGGAGGGAGATCAAGGGGGCGGCTGGGGGGACAACACCAACAGCAGAAGACGGGCAGCGGCAGCGGCGACACCCGGCCCCTCTCAACGCAAATATGAGGGGGGAGGGGCAGACAGAACACGCAACAAAAGAGTCAAGTATCACATGAAGCTCTACCTCAGGCGGCACGGCCTGATGCACACACGATGGGGGGGACCAGTCCCCGCCCCGGCCGACCAGCACCCCCAAGCAGCCAGCTCCACCGACCCACAGCCACAGCCACAGGGGGGAACCCACAGCAGCAGCAGTGCCACTGATCCCAAGCCAACCGGGGGAACGCAAGCCGCGAGCACTCCCCACAGCAACGGCACCAACTTCGCAGACCTGCTCAACCGCCACCTTCTGCCGAGGGGGACGTACCAACAACAAGAGCAACCACAACCAGCAGCCGCCACAGCAGAGCCGGACCCCACCAGCAAGGCCCACACCTACTACCCATACTGGGACCCCCGCAAATCTACGCGACAGCGGGCAGCGGCAGCAGCAGAAGGGCGACGCCAACAACAAGCAGCGGCAGCGGCGGAACACAAGTCCACAGCGAGGAGCAGCACCGACCAAGCGCCACCTGCAGCCGGAGGGGATCCAACACCAGCGGCCGCCACGCCCGCCACCGCCGCCCAAGGCCCGGACACCAACACCGGACAGAACCAAGCAGCGGCGAGCAGCAGCAGCCAGCCCCAGGGCAGCCGCGCGGCACACGCGTCAGCCACCGCTGACAGCACTCACACCCAGGACGGCCTCCCCTCAGCACAGCGAGGGGAACCACACCACGCGGCGGCAAGCAGCCACAGCAGCCCACAGCAGCAAGGTGGGGAACAACAATCCCGACCCTACACCAACGACCCACTGTGGGACGGACGCACGCTCCGCCTGAGCTCCAAGGAAAAAAGCACAACCCCAGGCCCAGCACCGTGGGTGCAAACAGTGCGAGACGGCCGAAACATCGGCAGGCGGCCCACTCCTGCCACACCGCCGGCGCCATCACCTACACCAGCCCCACAGGGGGAACACACCGACCTCATGCAGCGGTACACCAGCAACCCGCAGGCACAACTCACGGCAGCGCAGCAGGCCCTTCAAGCAGCCAACCGCCGCGGGGAGACGCAAGCCCTGGCACTGCAACAGCAAATTCAATTTATCCACGACATAGCGGAGCACGTGGGGGGGGAGCAGGGGGCGGCAATAACGACATTGTGTGATGTCCTAGCCAGGCAAATATCGCTCCTGGCACCCACGGGGGCACTCCCGGAAACGTGCAAAACCAGCCGCAAACGGGCACTCACAGAGCCTAACGTGCTGGTGGAAGCCCTGTCGCTTACTTCGAGGTTCTCTTTTTCGGGGGGAGCTTCCCTGACAGCGGAAGAAAGGGCTCAAGACATGGCCTTCCTCATACGAGTGCTAGAAATGGGGGAGAGCCAGCTGATGGAACCTACCCCACCGGACGTGCCAAGCACTGCCTCCGCCGAGCACAGCACATAGCCGCGCAGCTGCGAGATCGAGCACTACGGGGGGAACCATGGTGGGACCTTCCCCTGGATCTTTGGGAGCACCTTCGCCGCAATACAGCGCCCGCTGCCTACATCATAGAACGCAGAGGGGACGCTTTCGAAGACCCGAACGAGGAGGAGAACGCCAAACGAGCGAGAAGGTCTAGAGGCGAGCCAGCGCGGGGGAGCAACGACCCGGCGCCACCAGCCCACCCCGCGGACGTGGTGGCACTGGAGACAGGGGGAGCAGAAGCAGAAGCCAGAACATCGACGAGTACCACGGCCTTTCTCCTACTGCTCGAAGCCGCCCAAGCACTCCAAGGCGTCACTCCTTTCCTGGGGGGAGACCAAGCAATGGTGGCTAGCCAAATGCTCCACGCAGTGGAGCAGGTGGGGCAAGCTCTCTTTGGCGGTGCCTTGGCGACCCACAGCACCACACAGACGGTGAATGTGGATAGCCAGGACACGGAGCCGGCAGCTGCAGATGAGGGAGGGGAGCCAGAAGAGGGGGACCAACCGGTCGCCAACGAACCTCTACCTACGCAAGAAGACACAGTACCAGAAGGGGGGCCGCGAGTTTGGCCTCCACCTATGTCCTCGAGCCTTGGGAGCGACCTGCCAGGAACCGAGACGGAGGATGAAGCTTTCGGCCTGACGCGAAGGCGCAGAACTACCTCGGCTGTGCCCGGCAATGGCTGGACAACTCTGGTGGGGATGACCGAATCGCAAGCTCAACCCCTACTTACGGAAAGCCTGGAAGCCCACATCCAGGCGCTGGGGGAGCCAACACAAGAGCCACCTCTTCCGGCGGGGACCGACACCCGCGCAGAGGGTGACGACGACCTTCCACCTACGCTGCCCTGGACAGCCGAATGGGAGACAATGAGAGGGGGGAGCAGCAACAACGACCTCGGCGCCTACTACCAGTCTGGAGAAGACAGTGAGAGCGGGGACAGCCACCGGCGACGTAGACTTCACGCGGCCGGACTAAACTAAAGCATCTGGCCAAGGAGCCGGCGGGGGATGCACAAAGGTCTTGTGACGCATCTAGGTGCTAGTAAGTACACTTATGTCTCGTCTGGTGACCCACAGCACCCTGCGTTGATGCTAAGTCTGTTCGATGCGACCTTGGGGGGAAGGCAGCTTTCGACTAGGTATTCGTACTCCTTTCCCTCTTTCCGCCCGAGGGAGCAAAGAACAGTAGGGGAGCAATGGCCACAAACCGCAAAAGAGGGTGCCGGGGGAGTATGTACTCGTAGCCTGCAAGCTGTTGTGCGCTCCTTGGAAGTCCTGTGACCTTGTTGTTTTCGCACGCTCCCCGGCAACCCGGCAACACGCCCCACTCCCCCTAGTACCCTCGTCAATGCTCCTTGCTCCAATCACCAGTGGCCACTGCTAGTACAGGGGGAACACCCTGCCAGACCTCCACCTCCAAACAGAGGGGGGGGACAGCAAATAACAGCTCAGAGCACCTCAGTCCCCGCAACTTGTACCAACACGGGGGGAAATTGTAGGGCCAAGTAGTCTGTCTTGATAGTCATGTTGCCGTT